TAGAGCGGTACCTAGGTCCGCCAACAGTGCTGCCCATAGAGTGGCACGTAAGGCACTATTTTTATCTCGTTTAGAGCTAGAATCTTTTGAATTTTTTGAATTTTTTGGGTGGCTTCTTTAAAATATTTTAGGAGTCCTAAGTAGAATTGTAAGTGTAACTAATATCCTCCATTGATATAACTCAGAAATAAAAAACATCTAAATGTGAAAATGTCGAGCAATGTTAATCAAATGGTCCGAATAAAATTTCTTAAATCGTTAAATAGGCCCAAGCCCAAGCCCACCTTCTAAAAATTCTGCCCGACTCGCTAAGCTTTCAACCAGGTTCGCTGTCGCTTCGCCACCAAGACAGAGTGCGGCGGAGGGTTCTATACTTTTATTCGAGACAAAAGAAACCACTCTTGTTTTCTCATAAACCTCCGTTAAACCCTAAACAAAAAGCTCGCAGAGAAGAGCTTGTCACAGCTTCGCTTTGCAATCCCAACAATGGAGTTCTCCGAAGAAGACTTCACTCGGCTATTGGTCATGGAGCAGGCCCGAAAGACCGCTGAAGCTAACTACGCCAAGAATCCTCTTGACGCCGACGTTCGTGGTTTTCAAGTTTACTTTGAGATTCGTGTCTCTTCATCTCTACTTTCGTTTTTCGGTGTAAGGTTTTCTGATGGATCCTTATTTTTTGTTGCAGAACTTGACAAAGTGGGGAGGAGCGCTTCTTCAGTTATGCCAATTGGAGAGAGGTCCCGAAGCAATGTCTCGGATGATAAACGGTATGGACATCTGTATTCCGAAAATCACAATGAACAGCCCCTGTTACTAAACGAATCCTAAAATGCGTTCCTCAGTTGGTTTGGATTTCAGTTGTGGTTGATTTTCTAGCTACCTTGTTTGGATTTGAGCCCCATTTGCTTTAATTGTAGGTTTATATCTCTATCAATGTGGCTGACACTGTGGTGGTTTTGATTTTCATTGGTTTGTTTTCATTGAAGAGGCTGTGTCCAAATTTGAGGAGGCTTTGGATATAAACCCGTCAAAGCATGAAGCTTTGTGGGGTATGGGGAATGCGGAGACTAATCTTGCATTCCTGATTCCTGATCCGGATCAGGCAGAGGAGCACTTTTTAGCAGCTGCTCAGCTTTATCAACGAGCTCTGGACGAGGTAAACGAAAAACTTGCGAACGGTTTCGGGCATTTGAAGAGCATATGTCATTGATATGAGTCTAAAGTTTATGAGCTGATGGTATGATTGGGATAATGCAGGCTCCGAATAATCTGATATATCGTCAGTCTTTGATGGAGGTTTCTAAGGTATGCTTTGCACATCTTTTTGGGAGTTGGCAATGCCCTGACATAGCTAGGTATCCATTTTACATGTAGGCATAAAAGGCTATAGTAGAGTAGTACGTTGTTGATTTGATCTAAACATGTGATTTGGCAAATATTAGTAAAGATGTCAACTTTTCATTCTTGGTGAAAGTATGGTACCAATTATTTAGCAGATTGCAAAAGATTGCTTGAGCTGGGACTCGAGTCAATGTCATGTCAAAACCTCTGCTACCGTTACTACTAAGCCAATTGTACAATTAAAGTTAAACTTGCTTAGTGGGTAGCTTTGCACTTAACTTTTGACTTTTTCTGCAGATATTTTGTACTTATGTTGCTCTTAATTGTTGAATTTAACTCACTAAATCCTTTCCCCCAGGCACCAGCAGTACACAGGCAGGCCTTTGCTGGTGGTCGCCAGACTCTGGGAGATGCCTTTGCTGCTTCTTCAACAACCAAGGTTAGTATGTCTTTTGTTAATGATCTCTTACAAGTTCTTCGATCATGAAGTATTCTCTGTTGATACCTTTTTGTATGAAGCCATTTTCAAGTGTATTTGCTGTGGATGGATAGAAGCTTATATATATTTCTGTTTTAAAGAGAACTGTGATTACTCTTCAAATGAGAACACGAATTCAAGGGACAGTTTGTGGTGTGAGTTTTTTCTTGGTATTTCACTTGCATATGGAAGCTACTTAAGCTACATTGACTTGATTTGGTAGGTTTCAGGGCCACTTTGCGGTAAGCTAATCTAGCATTGTTTGGACAATGAATCCATCAATTGAATTGTGTTTTCATTCTTTTTGAACTCAATTTGGGTAATAACGTTCTCCTCATTTTGGATTAGCACACGATCTACTAGCTTTCTTCTTCGAGTTTTATGTAGTGCAAAGACGTGTTATTCACCAACCATGAAGACCCGATGAGTTGTGACATAAGAATAATGGGTCTTGAATCATCTTTTTTCAATCCTGTGATAACCTCTCAGTCCAGGACTTAAGTTATAATGTCTTGATTTGGTTGGTTTCATTGAAATTATATGTGAGGAGGTCTTTTTTTTTTTGTTTTGTTTGTTGCTCTTGCACACTTAAGCTGCTGAATTTATAATGTCTTGAATTGGTAGCGTTTAAGCTGATATATGTAACAGTTTCATGTGGATAGTTACAATGTGCTCCATATCATGCAATCTACTAGCTTTCTTTCATCTTCAGTTTCATGGCATACAGAGAAGTTTCTCATTCATGTATGACCTTTTCTTTTGCAGGGCTCCAGGAAGAAAAAAGACAGTAAAACCAAAGATTTCATATACGACGCTTGTGGGTGGATCATACTTGCTGCTGGAGTTGCCACTGCATTATCGATGTCTGCAAGGTCCCAAAGCCAGCTTCCTCCTCCTTCACCTTTCTAAGCACACATACTATCCTTGCGAGGTCCGTTTAAACTAGTTAGGTTGTATATGGAATCATTGCAACTCCGATATCCCCAGTTCAAGTTTTATGGCTGAATTTTCTTTGAAAGCAAGGGAAACATTGTCTATGATAGAAGACATGGAGCGTGTAATGAACTTCTTCCAAATCACTTCTGATGTGAGATCGCCTTTCAATCAATCTTATTTGTATTTGTTTTAGGCTGTGTGTGTCATTCCCACTTATCATTTGGCAGTGACTTATCAGAAGGCTGATCTGGTATTCACTTCCTGCCAATGGTATTTCAGAAAAGAAACCAAGTTGGGGGAAAAGGACTTAATGTCGTGTCTTTGCACAATGATCAGTGCCTTTTTTCCCCCGATATTATATTGGGCTGGATTTGATTGGGCTCATGTTATATTGTTGGGAAGTGATTTGGCAAAAGAAGATCGACTTTTGTAGTCCATAAATGTGTTGGATTAGGTGACGGCTTACCATTTTGTTACAAAACAACGGAGTTCGATAGACCAATTTTTTCATGCTTTGATGACCATGTAGATTTGTTTTTCGAGTTAGGTAATTCTTACGGGGATTCAAGTTTGAGACATCGAGATTCAAAACTCTGAATGAAGCCCTTGTTCTTTTATTATTCGTAGTGACGGTTCAGACTTAGCCAGAAAGGAAATTGGCTAATTCTCCTCTCAATGGGTTTTTAGTCCTAGATCCTTCATTCTTCAGAGGTGAAGATGACACTATGTGTAGACTATTATCCATATATGAAACAAATATTACAAAGTGGTAAGGCGGTAGATTATTAACTCCTTTTTCAAGACCATATTGATCCGAAATACTTGATTTAATTTTCATTTCTAGAAACCTCGTTATCATGGATACGTATCCGAATCTTACCATGGATAAATATAATCATACCATGGATATCCATCGGAATTTGATGAGTAAAATCCGAACCCAAATTTATTTTTAATGGGTAACGGTAAGATACTAATTTGAATATTGCGGGTGAAGGGTGAATATGATTTTCTCTCTATTCAACTCGAACTCGCCCGATTATACACGTGCATATGCGTTTCATTTAAAAATGATCATGATTTTTCTCAACGTATTTTATATGTATCATACATATAGAATATTTTCATGAAAATTATATCGTTCTTACTAATTTTCTTCATTTTTGAAAAATTTTATTTTAATTTTCACTTATATAATGTCTGTATATTTGAAATTGTTAACATGTTGGTTGAATTTATAAAAGGAAATTATTATTCATGGTTAATCGTGAATACTCGAAACCCGATTAGATATGAGTATGGTTTTCATATACTCGATTCTTGTGTGAGTATGAATATGAATAAAATTTGAACTATTTTGAATAGAGTAATAGATATGCACTATCTGAATCCGACTCGATCCGTTGCCATGCTCATGACCAAATTCAACTGATGCCATGTTCTCATCATCAGGATGCTGTTTCCCATTAGGCCATAGGCCATATCTTTGATGGTTATAATTAAGCATAATTTTTTTTTGTTAATGTATTAATTAATTCTGCATCTTCCCTGATCTGGCTTCCACCATTTGAGATTGGTGGGTATCTCATCTTTCGGATAGGGAAACTTGCTTTCGTCCTTTGCTTTATCCTCAATAATCCCACATTATAACTTAATTAAGACTTGTTGGCACTTCACTGCAAATGAAACGCGTCATCAAGGAGGAATTTTACAATGCTATATAGCATTGTAAAGTGGTGGAGGGAGAGGGTAACAGGGTGGGTCCCGGAGGAAAATGGTTAAATTAGGTACGATAGTTAATTGATATCGAAAATTATGTCTCGTTTAATTGAGAATAGTTGGTCGAAAAGTTTTGTGCTTGAATCTTGGCGACCTCATTTCTTTAGCATACGGTATTTAGATTTGTGCAAACATCAATTTCGTATAAGTTGACTTTCTTATAAGGGAGCATGGTAGTAAATGGCATAATATATATTATTGAAATCTTCCAACAACTCGATTTATTGATACTAAATATTTTTTTAAGAACATCATTCGAAAACGACTAGGTAAATCATGAATTATTGGTTGGTATAAGATTTATTATTAAACCTCTATCAACAACTCGATGTATTGATACTGACGGTTCTTAACAAAGAACACCATTTGAAACACTACGACTAACTAAATCAATGATTGTTTGGTATATATGCAGAGTGATATTCTTGATATTTTCGACTGCTAATGCATTTTATTTATCAAAAGTTTTCAATGTAAGATTATATTAAAAAAACTATTTTATCATATTTTTTTTTGAGGTGAACCCACCTTAAACAAAATCCTAGCTACGCCACTGGCATTGGTGCTATAGGTTTTTGCCTTTATGGTACAACTTAAAATTGTACCTTTAGCGTTATGGTACAACTTTAAATTGTACCTATACTTTTTGTACAAATTCTTTTATGGTACAACTTAAACTTGTACCTTATGTGATGGTACAACTTCAAGTTGTAAAGTTGTACCATAACATAATGATACAAATTCCTTTATGGTACAACCTAACTTATACATTTAATGTTATGGTACAACTTCTTTTTTTTTTCCTGAGTGATATCAATGAAAGAAAATAGTTAAACTTACAATTCCACCCAGGAACCCCTAACAGATTCTAAAGAACCCACCCCAAAAAATCAAAAGATTCTAGCTCTACACGAGACAAAAGCAGTGCTTTACGCGCCACTCTATGGGCAGCACTATTGGAGGATCTATGTACCGCCCTAAACTCTATACAAATAGACAAAGAGCTAAGGATCTGAAGGCACTCTCGTAACACCAGACCACCAATTGAGACTTCAAAGACGCCTTGTCGGACTTGGTAGACCACCACTTCGGAATCACCTTCGACTATCACGTGGGTCAAGGATCTTGAGGCTACGATGGAGATGGCGTCTCTAAAAGCTAGAAGCTCTGCCATATAAGGATAGACTATTCCTTGATGCTGCAGCCCGAGCGCCAACACCACATGCCCGTCTGGCCCACGGATAACAAGCCCAGACGAACAACCGGTGGCACAAACAGCTACGTCTACGTTGATCTTCAAAAAGTCTTCTGGTGGAGGGACCCAAGTGGTGGCAGGATGAACTGGGACTAGAGAGCTGCGGGGCGGAGGAGGAGGAAGAAGAATGGACAATTCGAGGACCTGGTTGTAGAACTGTCTGGCTAGGGAACGGACATGGGGTTGGATAAATTCGAAGGTCACTTTAATTCTAGACTTCCAGATTCTCCAAAGTAAACAGACGCATTGGAGAATGTGGAATTGGGAGGTCTCGGAGACCATGACATGTCGCCACCGTAGACTAAAGTTAACAGTCTGGGCGGTCTCAATAAAGTTGCTCAACCCCACTAAAGTCCACAATCTGGTGGCTAGGGGGCATCTGAAGAATAAATGTTCAATGCTTTCTCGATGTCTCCAGCAGACAGAGCATCGGTTGAGACAGTTGACTCCACGAGATTGAATGGTCACTACTGTGGGAAGTATGACTTTGAGGCATTGCCATATGAAAAATTTGAACTTAGGCGGGACTTGGATACTCCAAGTCTTTTTCCAAATAATTAAGATAATCTCAATTAAACCAATTTGGGAGACCAAATATCCACCCCACTTCAAAAGCTCGTTTATTTATATGTAAAAGATCAAACTTGCGTGTATCCCATTGGTTAGTCATACCCATTAAATGCTAATAAAGCACACATTGAAGGCCTATAATTACTATTAACGAAACTTGCCATTGTCGAGTAAAACTCTATTCCCTTTAGAGCCGTTGTAGGGCACCTAATACCATCAAATAAATTAGATGCCGGTAGCTTCCAATCAAAAGGTCAACAAAGAAAATAATTGCGCTGACCCACATGAATAGGGAATTATTCCCCTAATAACATCAAATGAATGATGATTTAAAAGCTCATAATAAAGCTTTAATCGTCCGAAACGGACGAATACCTCCAACAAATGGAGTTTTAATTCTTAACGGAGGGGCATTGAATGCAGGATCGGCCCAACAAAGCCAGTCGCCGGGTAACTCTCTGCTGCGCAACAACGACTCGAGCCTCTGCAGCTTCAGCTCATGCTTGAACCGCTTGATGAAGTTGCATATCCAGCAATTGGACCTCGGTAAAAATGAATTAAAGACTAAAATACCAATTCTATTAAATAGATATAAAGGAGAATTAAAACTCAAACACGTTAAACAATTCAAAAGCCTTAACAGTGAAGACACCAGCAGTAAAAGAGCCCTTAATGGCAGGCAGTAAAAAGTGGGATGTTAATTAACATTAATGAGAGGTAGTCAGGTGAAACGGTACGTCGGCACCACCCAAAATTTTGGCCGCCGATCTCGCATCTCACCGGAGTCTCCGGGAAAGACCTTGTGGTCTCCGGCCTGAATAGCAGAGAACAAACCACAAACTCATCCAATAAAAAATCAAACAAGAAGGGGTATTACCGGCCGAAAGTGAAATCCGGTGAGAGTTTTCTAAACCAGGAACGGCGTCGGATTCGGGAAACCGGTGATACTGAGAGGCGCAGAGCAGAGTCGCCGTGGGTCGACTGTGGCCGACTGTCCGTGCGGCGGGGAAGTGAACTGGAAGAGCCTCAATGCGCGGGATTAGAGGAAGAGCACATAGGACTCGACGGTATTAGGGATTGTGGAAATATATGGCCTTTTTATTGTTGTGATGTATGCATACACAATACTTCATAGTTTACTCAATGGGAAATGACCAGTATGTTCAGCGAATCTGAGATTATGATGAGGGGTTATGGTACAACTTCAAGTTGTACATTAAAGCACCAATGCTATATAGCATAGTAGAAATGCTCGTCATCAGGATTGCTAATTCTATTTACTAGGGATGAGATTACTTTTGAGATCTTAATTCTAGTTTTGTTTAGGATGATGGTTGGCTTGACATTATAATTAGAGGTTTTATTTGATAATTTTATTTTAAAATTTCAAATAGTATCGACATAACTCGACAAATATAGACACATTACTTAAAACAGTCATTTTTTTTAATAAGTATTAGCAGTGGTGGAGGTCTCGATGAGAGGGGGGGGGGCTGACTTGAACTGTGATATTTCGGGGGGGGGGGGGGGGGGGCTAATGTCTCGTTGATTACTTTATTTCTTAAATTTGTTACGAGTTTTACATGTAATTTTATCTATATTTTAAATCTAGGGGCTACTACAACCCATTCTATCTTCAACCTACCTCCTCCACGTATTAGCTTAGGTGTTGCATTTTATGGTTTGATGATACTCAAATCAAGAATTCATACATAATTATTGTTGCAAGAAAATAGTATATGTGAACAATATTTTCTTGCAACACAAGCAAACACATAAGATTAAGAAGAAAAAAAATTCAAAGACACATGCAAGCATCCTAGCCGATAGAATTCACTATCTCTTCTTAAGGAATCTTATTCCCCTCAAGTACCCAAGGTTCTGGAATGATTCCTCCCAGGATAGAAAGGACGTACCTTTTCCGCCGTAGCGGTACCTCAAACCCCGGAACCCATCGAACACAGTGAACCGGCGAGAACCATACTTGACTCGTTTTTCTCTTTGAAAAAGAATGAAGAATACTAGTTTTGGATTTTGACAGAATTTTGGTACCGGGAAAAAACCGATGTAAAAAACCACACTCTCTTGAAACTTTCCCCTTTTATTTCCATTCACACCACTAAAAATCCCAACAATCCCCCACATGAATGGAGAATGTTGTACTTTAAAAAATATGCAAAAAATCGTGTGATTCTCGACTAAGAATTAGTTGCATCGGAATAGGTAGGTTTCCCTTTGAACCTTCCTTAGTGAACATATATCGAGTATACTCACCAATCGGTAGATGTGATATCTTTGAACCGTCGGTTTTGCTTGTATACTAAAACAACATATGTCACACAACTGACTCTTATCCGTTCACTGGTTCTCATTGTTGTGTTCGTTTTAGCCATGAACACCGCCTGGTCTCATGAGTGCTTAGAGAACTGGCCTTCTTTTATTCTCCTTGAAGCGGCTCCACTTCACACTCACATAGGTGATTTCTAAACATGTATTCCAAAAATACACTATTTGATCACATCCTGTGTCAAACTTAGAAGCCATTAAAAAACTTCCATCTGTAGTTACCCTTATAGTTGGACATTGTCTCATCATGAGAAAGGACTTTGAATAATTTGACAATGTCGGACCATCATTCACAACTTTGTTTTCTCCTTGAACCTAGAGGTTGGGTCTGCCCATCCTGCTTAGGTAGAGTTACCGCCATGATGATTTGTCCTAGGCCACGAGTACATTCCCTTTGATGCTTAAATTAATTTCTAGATGGGCCCCACGTTTGTTATCACTTGATCTAAACTGATCATCTCCGATAACTTCGCTGGAAATTAACCAATCAATAATGTTATGTTTCTACGACGAGATTTTCACATAACACTTCTAGCCCTTTCAATAACCATTTTGTGCACAAATGCGTTTTATTAACGCCAATCTTTGCGGGCCAAACTACTCAACTTCACCGGTCTTAACTTGGATTTTTTCCAAGATACTGCTCCTCGTTAACCATAAATGCCTATCCATTAATGGACTATGGCTTTTGGTTCACCCAGTGAGTTCCTTTGGGTAAAATTCACCAAAGACTCGTCTCTTTTCGATTCACTACACATCATGTGTGTTTGCCTTGATTTTATTGCCTTGCAATAATCAAAACGCATGCCAACGGTGTTGAAGTCTCTCTACTTCATTAACCTTAGAGCACTTGAGTTTCACAAGTATCTCTTCAAATGTAGTGACATCTATGACTTAACTTAGGGTTTACGTAGAACTCCTAAGTATTCACATCACTTCACTTTGGAATCACCCAAGCGACATTCCTCTACATCACTTCTCCCCAATTTATCCCCCACATTTCAACTATTTTGCCATAGTTGCTGAAACCAACGTTTCCGGTTTGGGGAATGTTGTTCATATACATACATGCATATGGTCAAAATCATCTCTTTGGAAAGAGTGGATCAACATCAATAAATATTCTAGCTCTCTGACATAACGTCAATATATGCTAGAGTTTACTCATAAGTTATACCCTTGGACTAGGTTAACTCCACAAGGTTTAGGGACTCTCCCTTTCTCATTGGACACCTTCATACTTTCAAGTATGACTTCTTTTACCTTTCCACTTTTGTCTTATGGATAGGTTTGCGTCCCATTGTAGGGTCTTGAGATAGTAGCCGAAACAATGGCTAGCTTTTCTCCCTCACAACTCTACCCTTTGCCAAACATCATGGAATAATCCCATTTATTTTCCATGGTTTTACTTATTGAACTTGCCAACCACTATGTGTATCTAATTGTTTACCAATAGTATGATCTCACTCGATTAGCATACCACAAACAATTCAGATTTTATTAGAAATATCATCTAATTACTTACCAATGGTATTGATCAAGGCAACTTGAGAAGTCATAAGTAATTCAGATGCATTCCAGTAATGGAAATCCCATCTAATTACTTACCAATGACATTTCATTTGTGTAACATGATATACCACAAGTAATTCAAACAAATTTCTTATCCAATTGTCTAATTACTTTCCAATGGTATAAACTTCATAAATATACCATAAGTAATCCTGACTTTAAGTTCAATAAGATCATCTCAATTGAGCTCTCATGCCAAATGTTTTCCAATGATATATATCTATATATACCATAAACAGTTCTGGCAACTAGCTCCACGTCGATAATCATAGTCAAATTATTTTCCAATGGTATAGTGTACTTATACCATAAACAATTATGAACTAATGCTTATCTTGATGACATCCATCATTTGGCAAGCTTATTAGATCCCTATAATGATCAATCATAGCTTTATTTTTCCTTGCCCTCGTGGCATAGGAAACATCAAGTCCTAAACCACATACATAATAAACAAATTATTATGTCATCACAAGCATCTTAGGAATTAGAATTCCTTATCGCTTATGGCTTACTCGTAATGCAATCCTTTAAACGTGCATAAACCAAATTTCATCTCCAACACATTGGAGGTATACTCTTTCGTACTATGTTCAACTTACTTCGAACATAATCTTGGCAAACATTCTGGCTTAGTTAGACTTGACTCACAAGTCCCCACTTGCCACACGCCATAGGTTTTACACACCTATGATTGTTCATAGTTTCCCACTAGATAGTTTATTACTATCCAATCCACCGTTACTTAGAGCCCATGAAGGACTATCATAAGTACTTCCATCCTCTCATGCATTACCATGAATGAAGTCCAAATTAAATTGACACATTTATCATTCATCCATGCTACAAAAATGAAATGGACCAATGCAATAAAAGCATTAAAACTTTGTGGTTAACTTTGGAACCAAACAAACTCGTAAGGTTTTATCCAACTAATTTACCATTTGGGAGATAAGAACATTTGTCCTTTATTTATAATGTAAATACACGACTTACATAGGTACACACATATTAATACCATATGTATATATACACACATACATATGTCTACTCCTCAAAGGAGATTACAATACATATACAAGAATCCTAAGGATTCTTGGGGTCGAAGTCAGGATCAGAGAGACATTCATCGATCGCTATGTCAGAGTACTCCTCCTCGTTCTCTGATTCCTCAACTTTCTCTTCTTCCCCATACTCTCCATCGAGTTCACATGGGTGCCCAAATCGTCGACATTAGGACCCATTGAGTACAAATCATAGCTGGGTATTTCATCTAGAGTCCAATAATTGGTTGGATGCTTTCCACCAATGTCATTATATAGCGAACAAGGAGGAGTACCAACTTGTCGAAAGACTTCTCCTTTCTGATGTCCTCTAAGGTCTACAAACTGGTTGGATGCTCCCACCAATTACACAGGGACACCCCATCGATTCATGTAGAAGATTTATTCTACTGCGCCTTGTCCATTACCACACGTAGCATGCAATATACATGCATGATGAATTGATGATCATATGTATTGGAAAATTAGTATGACAATTATTTAATGGCTCATTCAAAGCATGCATAAAAAGCATACGCTGCCAAGAAACATATACCAAATATATATCATCCATGCTTGTATAATAAGAGGGACTCTGGATACTTACATGATCATAATAGGAACCGATCGAGTGCTAGCTTCTTTCTTATACCATCAACAAGTACATCTTTTCTTCCTTACTTTCCAGTACATGATCCGAACATATATATGTATGTTTCACTGTCGGAACCAAATTTCCAACAGAACCAAGTTCCTTTCTTTCTTCCAACGACAGAAACAGAAGAAAAGAACATATATGTATATACACACACCATATATATCACATAGGCAACTAATATATGTACAAGTATAGCAAATGAACCAATATAAAAGGGAGCAACAGAATCCCTTTCTAATTAACCGCCAAAACCAATCATCAACTTGAAAAAAAATACTTTCCATGTAACGAAACCAAAACATATATATAGGTCATATGTATAAATCATCTTATGCATGTTATTCCACTAATAACCAGAATCAAATTCAATGCATGGTAAACGCACGTAAACAATACCTAAGCCATACAATGATTTATATGTCCATTAAAGATGAACAACCCAATTCTTCTTGCAATTATTCTTAACCTATCCATACCGTGAACAATTAGCAATTTCTAGTAAGATTCTTTAAGATTGTTGGGGAAATTGTTCACATATACTATTTTCTTGCAAAACAAGCAAACACATAAGATTAAGAAAACATGCAAAGACACATGCAAGCGTCCTAGCCGATAGAATTCACTATCTCTCCTTAAAGAATCTTATTCCCCTCAAGTACCCAAGGTTATGGAATGATTCCTCCCAGGATAGAAATGACGTACCTTTTCCGGCGTAGCGGTACCTCAAACCCCGGAACCCATCGAACGCAGCGAACCGGCGAGAACCACACTTGACTCTATTTTCTCTTTGGAAAGAATGCAGAAAACTAGTTTTGGATTTTGGCAGAATTTTGGTACCGGGAAAAACCGATGCCTAAAAAACCAAAGGGGGTTAGGTGCTATTTATAGAAAATGAAGGGGTGCGTACGAAGGGAGGCAACTCTTCATATGGGTGGTTACACCCCAACCAACACATTGGTTCACGTTTGAAATAATGAACCATTGCATCGGTTCAGCCCATGGTAGTTGGACCGGTTTGGTTATTCCAACCGCCACATTGGTTCGGTTCGATTTGGTCCGTTTGGTACACAAACCAATTTAACCGATTAACCACATATTACATCAAATCGATCGAATTCGAGGCCGTGCCTTCCCACATCTTACCAACATGGTACTTCAAGACACTATCTTGAAACTTTCCCCTTTTATTTCCATTCACACCACTAAAAATCTCAACAATTATTATGGATCATCATATGAAATACGATTGTATATCTTTCTATGAGTGGATGATACGAGAAAATAATAAATTACGATTGAGTTAAAAAATCTCAAAATGGAAGATGATGAAAGAACATAAGAGGGCTCCGGGCATGGGCCTCATGTATGGTCTTCTCACCAGAGAATGACATACAAAAATTATTTAGGAGTTGAAATCCAAAAAAAAAAAAAAAAAAATGATGGTCAGACCAAATGAAGCTGTGGGTGTCTTAACCATACTTGTTGAGTTGTCCAAACTAGAATCTCAAAGAGCTCTCTCAGACCATCAAAGTAAAACTTCTTTGCAAATCCTCTCCTTTAATTAGAGGTGTAATATTTAGCAAATCTAATTAAAGGACACTCCTAGTTATTGGCATTGCCTAAGCCTAGCAATAAAGTCTGCAACTATTTTAGTCAACGACACACGTTTCCCTTTCTTTTTGCATATTAGATTTTGCTGACCCATGATTTGCATACTCTTTTTGTAGCAATATCCAACATTCTCCCTTGCAATCAAATGTGGATTTTGATGTATACCACTGAATAGCAAATCCACCATTTATTTTCTCTCTAGAATGCTGATATGTGTAGCCCTCTACTAATTAGGAGCAGGCAGATCAATGGAGGAAGAATCCAAACCACAGTAATGTGCTAGTTGGTGGATGATTGCTCATAATTTGAAGATAATTGGCAAAGGAAAAGGCGATCGATGGAATTTGATAGTGGAAATCCAGGATCTCATCATCTGATATGTGGTAGAGTGTTTTAAGCACTAGCTTATAACCTGACCTGTTGGCCGGAATATTTATATTTGATCATTATTATTTTCATCTTACGTTTGATTCTATCAACCCGTTTAATTTTATTGACAATCCTTCGATCGAGATGATACATAAAGAAAGAATATATAGATAGAACATTTGAAGAAATATAAAAATGTATCATTAATCTTATTTTCATACTGATAATTAAGTCCTCGGTAAAATGCTATTGGTTAGTTGATTGTCAAGAAAGATAGAGTATAAAAGCTCACTGAAATTCCCTCACAAACCATAGATAGTTTGAAACTAAATTTTAAACCTCGCAATCCTACATAAAGGTTCAATGCTCTCCTTTTAGGAACAATATGTCACTAATAAAAAAGAAATGAAGAGTTGTTGATTCAAGTCAACTATTTGTTAACAACTCGACTGAGAGAGGACCATCACAACTTGAGAGCAAACAGCAAAATTAGGGTTACCTCCAATATACTAATAGATCCTATCAAAGTAATAAGGAATAAAATTAGACACTCCTTCTTTATCAGTTCCAGTAGGTTGAATAAAGAATCGACCGACTTACTTCAGTAAATCAATCGATGATTCCTCATTTTAAGACATAATTAGGTTGCGATAGCTTAAAAACCATAAACCTAAAGATCCAATAGCCACCATTTTCCGTTGTACAATAAAATTTTTATCCACTCTATCTTCAATCTCAAGAGATATTTCAACCAAAAATTGAAAATTTAATTCTCCTTATGCACCTCCATTTATTGAACTCCATTCTATTCACCATGGATTGATATCGAAGTTGAAATCTTTTACTTGCCCAGTTTAAATCTCCAAGAATAAAATCGTAGTGCCAAGAGACCGGAAGAATGATTTTCAAAGGCGGCCTTGTACTGTGAAGTGAAAGGGGCGCAAACTATTGCACGATGAAGGGAATTTCAGAGGAAGTTAGAAAGAGATAAAAACAAAGATAAAAAAGTACAAATTTAAATATAAATTGAAAAATGTAAGGATACAACACGTAGTAATAGAATTAGTTTCTTCCATGTTGGCCAATTTTCAATTTACCTTTAGCGAAAATTAAGGAAAGAGTAGTGATTTTAGAATTGAGAAACTATATAAAACTCTGCTATGAAAATTGCAGTATCAAACACCATAAAAATACCTGAATCGCTATTCGTCCCCCTAAAATTTAATTTTGTCGCCCTAAAATGTACCAAATTGACATTATTACCCTAGCCCCAATTTTAACCTAAATCTTAAACAAAAAATTTCTTTTGCCCTACCCAGGCGTCGCCGAGCTCATCCGTCCTCTGACCGCTGCTGCCGTTGCCGGATTCTTATCACCGGCCGTCTTCCTTTTTTCAATTCCGAATCATCCCCGCTTCCAACAGCACACCCCGGCAAGAATGGGGGATTATACTCAACTCCCTTCCCCCCTTCCCCTTCCCCTGCCTCCGCTCCCTCTCTAGAAACAGAGCCTGCCGCCTTGAACCCAAAAATGACCTACCGCCATCTAGCTCTGTCCGAGCCCCACCGCTCTCTGCGCGACCAGCAGCCGCCGTGTCGCCCCGACCCACGACCAGGCGGGTGGCGCACCACTCCTGCTCGTCAGACAGGTCCTGTTCAAACCTCGCCGATGACGAGAATCGCAGGTAAAACCCAGCACTGCGGAGGTGTGCTCCCGATTCCATCTTCCGACGATGACTGGGCGCTTTATCAATTAAATTGAGGGAAAGAATATGCTTTAATTGGCTAGGGTCAATTATCAATTAACGATGACTGGGGCTTTATCAATTATTGAGGGAAAGAATTGGATTTAATTGACTAGGACCAATTATCAATTATTGGCAGCGGCGACCGGAGCAGAATCCGGTCTTGGGATGGCCGACATCACTCTTCAATTTACGTAGGTTAGAAATTGGGGTAGAGGGCAAATTTGTCTATTTAAAAATTTAGGGCGATAAAATTTCAAATTATAGGGCGACGAATAGCAATGCCCTAAAAATATAGACCGTAGACTTAGTAGGCTTGCTAATCATGATGAAAAAGTCCTCTTGTTTTCAGATTGTCACTTTGTGTATATTTTGTATTTAAAAAGATACAAAAAGTTTGTTGAGTGTAATTTATTGTAATTGTTGTCTTTGTTTGAAGAGACTCTGGTCCAAATCCTGATATTGGCATTTTTATATGAAATAAATAATTAATTGTAAAGACAAAAATGCTCTTCCTATTTTCACTCTCGTTGTAGGAAATTTGAAATAGAGAAAAGTAGACAAAAATCTACTATATATTATTGGAGGACTTATATATAAAAAGGTTTTGTATTCGCTGTACTCATATTTATTTTTGGTGCGTGTTGTGCACTCGCTTCATAATCGTCATTTTGAATAGACGATTCATGTTAAAACAACGTGAAACGTTACTCGTGATATGATGGACAAGAAAGCATGTGAGCTTGTACCAAAATCATTCCAGATTTACTTTGATTTGAAGGATTTAGTGTTTAGAGATTTAGAGTTAGGGTAAACAATTTGAGGTTTTGAGATAGAGTATTTCTTAAAAAAAAAAAAAAAGAGATGAGTTCAAAATCGAAGGTTTAGGGTCTAGGATAATGCATTGATTAGTTGTGATGATATGCTATATCATAATGTTAGACTAGTGTTACCAATTAAAATTCAAAATTGGATGTCGTAAGGATACTTTTAGAGTTGAGTGCATAATATGCACTCAATTTTGTGGGTGCACTGTAGAAGCCACCCATATATAAATATATATGTTATACCTAAAATTTAACTTATTGTGGTGTTGATTGTTTATAAGTCATTAAATTTCTTTATAAGGATAATTTAGTTGTACTACATTAAATTAATTGTTTCACCGTGTTCGCACTTAGCACAGTCGCAACGAAAAGCGAATGTGGAGCTGAGACGAGAGTCTCTCACAAGATGCGTGTGATGTTTTGTAAAACTATACAGAAAATTGTATTAGAAAATTCATATGAGTAAGACTTGCTAACTTAGATTCCCTAAGAAATAATTAAAAAAATATCAAACACCCCGTTTGTTTTGAAAGGTGTAAACTATGTTTCAGTCAATGTTATTAAAACTGAGCCGAGCCGGTCGGTCCGACCGGTAGAACCGCCACCCGGTCATCAAACCGGCTCGGCGCAGTAAAAGAGCCAGAACGGTTGTAAGAACGGTTTTTCGAGCGGTTGAGACGGTTAACCGCTCGAGCTGCTCGTCCGGTTTCTCCATTCTAGCCGTTAAGTTTAATTATTAAATGAAAAGTAATAAACAAAAAAATCAAAATTCAAATCGGCTGTCTTGATACTCTTGAACGACGAAACTCAACCAGAGAGTCGCCGCTCTCAAGCTCTCTCCGTCGAACACAGGTCCTGCGGAGTGTCGACAAACCCAGCGAGGGCAACCGCTGGCGAACCCAACTCTCCCCGTCAAACCTGCTCTTGCCTCGCCCAGCTCATGCCGTCGAACTAGCTCCCTTTCGTCAAATCCAACTCCTGCCGGTAAACCCCGCTCTCCTCGATCGTCGCCAACTCTTGGGTGTAGAGTTTTGTGAAGAAGAATCCCAGAAAATGAAAAAGAAGAAGAAGGAAAAGGAAAAGAAATCGAGAGGTTGAGAAGGGGGTGGGGGTGAGCGGCGTTGCCGCTTTGGGTAGGGTTTGGATAAATTTTAATTTATATAATGTAATATTACTTTGTGGTACTTCGTAAAGTTTGTTTGAGTCATTATATTGATCAATTACTACCATATGTGTCTTCTACTAATGATATTATTATTTATAAGTTACCGGTTGTCTAACGGTTTTTAAACGGCCCAACACCGGTTGGACCACTAAAGTGCTAGTCGTTCACGTTATCGAGTTATGCTCCAATTCGGTTCAGACAACATTGATTTCAGTAAATTATTGTCCTTGAAGTCAATGGTTCTATCATTTAACTCGAACACACAAGTTATGCCAATTGAAACAACATTTCAATAAAGAGGTAAGTAATTGTTCAAAATTTTGATTTATCGATGTGTATGTATATTAAGCTCGGGCCTGATAGACCATTAATTGCACATGTTTATACCACCATTCTTGAGCCGTTTGAGAGTTGATTCTCGTGTTTTAAGTCGATTTCACGCTAGGTTGTGCGTTTATGTCATATTTCAGGACTTGGCGTTGACGTGGAGGCGAGGAAACGAGTTTCAGGCCAAAAAGGAGGAAGTTTGAGTGAAGGGCGATGGAAAACAAAAATACCCGGTCGGCACTTGAAATACCCGACCGGGTAAAGACGTTTTGGACGCCAGAATCCCAGAAGGGGTCCCGGCCGTGGACCTAAAATACCCGATCGGGTATTCTGGACCTCGATCGGGTATTATCCCTTATTCCACTACGCAGCGTTTTGAAAAACCCGGCCGGCACATGGAAAACCCGACCGGGTATTATGACCGAGGATTGTGTTCTGCTGCCTTTGAGGGAAAGAAGACCAATTTTTGAAGGGTTCCGAGTTTTAGAGAAAGAAAGCAAATACATAGAGAGAGAGAGAGAGAGAGAGAGAGAGAGAGAGAGAGAGAGTGACGAACCAGAGTCTCCAAGCGCCCTAGATCGATCTTCATCACCATTGGAGCTCGGCTTTGGTTTGGAGAAGTGCCGATTGATTACCAGAAGCAGAATCTCATCCTTCACAGCATGTTTTCTGCATCTGAGCTAGATTTCCCTTCTCTCTCTATGGAGTAAACTCTCACACTCACCTGGGTATGAAGAACCCTAGATTTGTATGTTAGGTCTGATTGTATGATCCCAAGTACAAATTCATTGATATTGATTATATTCAATTGAGGTTTGATTTTCTGAATTGCATGAATCCTGATCAAATTCCTGTTATTCCTACTTTGACCTAGAAAGAGAATATCTGCCTAGGTTGATAGAGCACCCTTGATTGAAGGTAGTGAATTGATGACTTTAGTCGAGGAGTTAATTCACTATTCTGTACTGGACTTATTCCAGTAGAGGAGGTTTGGTACGTTAGGGCCTCAATTTGTTTACTTCGGTGGAGGTTAGTTGCCCGCTGGGGACTAAGATTGAGAGGGTCTGGAGACCTTTAGTCGAGACTGCAGACTGTCTAAGAACCTCCCGCAGTATAATTATTGTAACATCCCGTTCCGACAAAACCCATATTTCGATCGCTAGAAAGTTCGCGATTTAAAATCGAGTGTTTTGATAGTATTTCGGCGAAGATCGGATTATCAATCGATCGGATAAGTATACGAATTAATTATATATATAATTAATTAATAAAAAGGAAAACAAAAAAATTGTAAAAGGATAAGTTAGCCGCGGGGAGCATTTATTAAATTTCCCCTGGTCGAATTACTTCCCCTCCATTTCTTCTTCTTCTTTCATTTCCGGCCTAGAGAACCGAGAAGCACAGGGCGCGCAGGGGAGAGTGAGCAGGAAATTCTCCGAGCTCGATTCTTGAGCTACAGTGATCTAAAAATCCCGTAAGTAATGCCTAATTCATCCATACATCGTGATTTATCGACTTAGAGCTTTAAAACGAGTTTTTGGATCAGGAATTTCTTGAATTCTCGATAAGCCAAATTAGGGTTTCGGAGTATCCGGAAGCCGGATTGAGCCCAAATTTCATATACGAGCTTCTTGCAGCGAGGTAATCAATCATCTAGTTCTAATCCCTGAATTTCGGCAATTATTTAGGTCGGGGTCCAAATCGTTGAATTTAGCTCCGGCCAGGGTTTGATGTGTTTTTATCAAGAATTTGACCCGGAGCCTAGAACTAATATTGACGGGGATACTGCAGGGGATATTAGGACGATCTCGGATTTTAATTCGGGGTTCGTTCGTGAAATTGACGTTTTAGTACGGAAAGTTAAACCGCTGTTTGAACGACCAGAACTGGTGAGGGATTAGCACGGCATACCGGGTTTGTCGTATCACGATAATTATATTGATGCTTAGAATTGACCTAGGTGAACTAGAATGACATGATTAGGGGTGTATGAGCTTTTGTGCTATATGTTGAACCCTGGACTGCTGTATGATATTATTAACTTGCCCTAATCGATATGGACCTTGTTTATGCTGATGATTGCATATATGTTGCCATTTGTGGCTTAACTATTGATATGACTTCATGGTTGTTCGATTAGGTGTTTTGATATGATGTGATACTGTGGTTCTATTTGGATTCACATGTGGGGGAAATAAACTTCTCAGGGTGATATTATGATGTTTAAGGAGGATGACTTGCACGAGGGTTTATCCGGAGGAAGTGCAATTATACGACTCCTGATTTACCTATGTTGAGCCAATTATGGCCATGTCAATTACATGTGCAAGTAATGAATTATGATTAAGCAAGATGATATATGAATCATGTACAAGGATACCAAATATGAGTGTTGTGGTCTCACGGTCAACTACATAGTAATTAGGGCTCCCTATGCTATTACTCTATTATGATATGTATGATAGTCACACCTCTCATGTGGTGGTGACTGAAGAATTCTTACGAGATATGACCACACCCAGAGCGGTGTCGGGGTATGACTACACCCATAGTGGTGTGGGGTATGTATGACCACATCCGACGGGATGTTGGGGTATGTATGACTACATCCGACGGGATGTGGGGTATGTTTCCCAGGAGAGTTATTAGCATGGGAGTAGCCAAGCGCCTATGAGTAAAACATGATAAGATGCATATGCATAAGTCAAGGTGGTTGAGTCTTTTGCCTATTGGGATGTTGGAGGGCTGAGATCTGATCCCAGTGCTTTGGCTTGTTTGCTAGATGTATGGTAGGTGTATGCTCTGTTATGAACTCACGATGCTATGATTATCTCACTCAGCTATGAGCCGACCCTCTTTATCCTTTTTCTCTGCTTATGCCATGTGTAAGCAGATCATCATCATCAGCAGTAGATAGGTGTATAGGTGGGAGTTGAGCAAGAGTTGAAGGCAAGATGAGGTATGTTCTTCAACCATTATGTGCTTGGACTACTACTCGGGATTTTGGCTAGTGATCCACACCTTTTTGTAAAAGAATGTTTTGAGAATATTTTTCATGTGCATACTAGCTTCTGATGTAGTGTTAGATATCCACAGGTGTGGAAAGTTAATGATATGTGCATATT